GCCCCTGCGGGCGGAGCGGCCCCAGGTAAGTGGGCTGCTGCTGTCTGCAGCGTCACCAGCTTCAGCTGGAAGAAATGCGTGGTTAAAAAGCTACTTGTCACTGGCTTTGGAGTCAGCTTGGCTCTTCCTCTTGCAATTCTCATGTGCTTTGTAGTATGGATGTGGGGGTTCTAGAGCAAAACAGACCCTCGCTGTTAGAAAGGCTGGAATTGCACTACGAGGTGGTATATGGGATTAGCATTACCTCAGAATTAAGACCGATCTCCCTGTGTATCATCAGGATCTTGTCCTGATGGCTAAAGGGAGAGCAGCTGCTTTCTAAAGTTTCTCAGATCTGACAGGAATTCATTTGGAAGGCACAAACCCACTTTCCTAGTAGTGAAAACGCTCGTCTCCTGGGGTGGTTCGCTTAGTGTGTTAGGATTGCTCAGGTCTTGCTTCTTGATGTTTGTCATTGTATGTGAAGTCGTGTGGTGTGTGACTCTTACAAGCTGATAAAATGGAAAAATTCTGATTCCTTTCTCTTTTTCTAGCTGAGGAGAAGAAAGAAGAGGAAAAGAAGGAAGAATCAGAGGAATCTGATGATGACATGGGCTTTGGTCTTTTTGACTAATTAGTTTTGTATCTGCCTGTAATAAAGAACATTTAACTGTACTTGTCTCTCATGCGGGTGAAGGGGAGTGGATGAAGGATGGGCAGGTTACCTGCAGGTACCAAAACTGCTGTCATCACGCTCATCTGGGGTTTGACAACTCTCCTTGTCGGTTTGTTGTACTCGGCATAGTGCAGTGACAGTTAAGGCTCCTGTTGCATTCACAGTGTATGGACAAAGGTGGAAACGTAACAGCAGCGAGCATGGGCTGTGGTAACAGCCCGGCAGCTACAGGACGTGGTCACGTTCAGCAGAAGTGCTGCGGCCTGGTGGCGAAGCTGCAATGTGTGTTGTTAATGCGTTAGCACCAGTGTACTTTCTAGGACCAGGTAACTGAACCTGTTCAGGGGCAGCTAAAGCCCATGGCACAGCAGGGATCGTGTGCGTTTCACAGTGGAGAACAGTTGTGCTGAAGACTGGGGAAAAAGGCTGAAATTCTTGGTGAAAGGCCCTTGTTGGAGGCTAAAGCTAGGATACTCTTTATTCACGAGTAGGTATAACGTAAAAGCAGATTGAGTCTTGCAGAGCTAGGTGCCCAGCCTAGGTTGTGTAAGGTGGGTAATCTTTTCACCTTTCCAGGAAAAAAGTTAAGGAGCACATCTGAAAACTGCTTTGAAGGGTGGGTGTGGAAGATGGTGTAAAGGAGTAACTCAAAAAGTACACATATTTCTAAATGACTTTTGAACAGGTCTTTTCCAGAGCAACTGAGCAAAGTAAGGGCTGTCATTATCTAATGTGTATTTTAAAATATCAAATGAAAATTACGCATTAGCAAAATCTTCAAATGTGCAAGGTTGCTCCACGTCCAGACCCACAATGGAAGCACTCTGCTGTCCCACCTTCCCACAACACTGGAGCTCATTTGTTTTTTGAAAGGTGCAGGCACCCACTGCATAATTTAGTCCATGCAGCCCCCCTGCTGCTGCTGAGAACTCCTTCCAGCATTGCTCCTGCAAACCACTCAACTGCTACGTTCCCCACCCCTTTTTTAAAGAACCTCCCCCCTAGGAAAATGTACTTTAAAGGAGTATAAGGAGTGACACCGAGTAATTACAAGTCACTTACACAGATGGTAACACTGACTTGTTCCTGTGCTCCACAGTTGGAGGAAAAAGTGCGTTCTGGAAGACAATAGTTAGGTCTTGGATTTCCTCCTCGGATGCTTACTGTGGTCCTGCATAAGTGAATTCTTAAAAGCTTGCAGATAAGGGTAGGGAGAAAAATTCTGAACAGAGAAAACTCCCAGTGGTTTCTTCAGCAGTGCATGCACACAGACAATAATATACCCAGAATTTCACTGGTAACACCTTTTTAATAGGTCAAAGTAACTGTACAGTTCATTATATTCTTCCTGAGAATAATTTATATCCCTCAACAGCAAAAAGGGAGCGTGGTTTTTATTTTAACAGAACAGATGGCATAAGTGGAAAACCAAGGAAAATCTAATTACACTGCTCTACTGTAACTCCTCCCAGGCAAGATAGACAAAAGGATGGGTTAGTTAACTACAGTGGGTTTAAAATATTCAACATGGCTTTAATCTGTCTTTATAAATTATATAAAAATGGGGGACATGAATGGTTACAGAACTCCTCTAAATGCAGCTCTGAATTGCTCTGGTACAAAGCAGCATTTTTGCTTCCAAGGAAAACAACGTTGCTACAAAAGAACTGGCACATTATTCCGGTGAAAAAGACGAGAGTTTTCAGTTGTGTTCTACAGCTAGTTCCAAACAAATGCTTCACACATTCACATAAAAGTAAAAGGCAGGAAGATGAAGAGGGCTTTAGTTTTGTCTTGAAATGACTGAAGTCTTGAAAATATAGCTTTTTATTCTTTCTCTGTAAATTGTGATTAGCATATTGCGACGTAAGTGTTCTAATAAAAAAATTCCAGTCTGGATAGTTCATATACTGTGGGCAAGAATTCTCAGCCCTGAGGTTTCCCCGAATTCTTCACTTCACAATATCTTTCTCTGATCTGCTGCTCGGACAGTTCTGGCTCTGAGACCGTAACCCTGCGGCAGCTCTAGGCTAAGCGTGTCCCATGCGATGGTATAAAACTGAAGTGCGCGCCGTAGCTGCGATTTCCCGAGGACTTCTGTACAAACTTCATCTTGTGATAATGCCACTTTTTGAATCCCAGACCAGCTTGGCTTTATGATAAAAACTTGGTTAAACTTCTGTAATGAGAGAGAACCAACAGCTGTCAGTCAGGTCTGCTGAAGCAAGAGGCGCTGGAAAGCCAGGACTACACTGGGTTAATCCTCACTGCTGGTGGAAGGTGAAAGAACATCCTTTCGCAAGCAGAATTCTTGGACTGATGAAACTCTTCCCTCAGTACTTAGTGCGGTCTGGACTGACTGATCATTTTCAGTCTGGCTTGATCAATAACATCCAGCAAGTTTTTGGCATCCACAGCCAGAGCGTGAGCAGCCGTCAGCATTTGCTTTTTGTACTCCTGCTGCAGGCTGGTCATGACATACTGCTGGGCCAGCTTCATCTTGTTGATGAGCTCGGCCAAGTCCGAGTTCAGCAGCTTCTGCGCCATCTCAATCTGGAACAAGAAGATTCGGTCAACTCTAAGTTGTCAGAAGCAGTGCATTCATGACAGTGACGCTACAGAGCAACGGCACTATCCACCCTCTAGCCCCCGCGTGAGCTTTTGGATTGAAGCTGGGGCTGTTTCCGTGGGCACCACGTGGAGCAGATGGAATTTCGGCACCTGCTGCTCTATGCCACGTGGAGATCGAGAGCAGCCCTGTCAGCTGCTGAGCCGCCCACCTTTAAACAGCACTGAGATCCAAATCGCTGGTAATGAATTTTAACCCAGGTCTAAGAATTAACACCTTGTTCTAGGTTTCCAGGTCCCTTTTATCATCACCCTTTTTATTACTATTATTATTAAAGTAGCTCTAAAGCAGTAAAAAATAAAACGGGTCAAGAAGCCAGACAGGTTACTTGACAGAACCACATAGCTAAAGTCAGGGTGATTCTCTAAGAGGGCAATTAAGAACCATTCTCTGGCTTTCTCATTATCACACTCATTCAAGGTTTTGGAGGAAAACAGTTTTACTCCTGACTCATGAACTTCACTGAAAGATCTCACTCGCTTCTCATCCAGAACTAGGTTATTACGGGATATCTCCTCAAAACCTTCCAGCTGCACCAAGTTATGCTCAATTAACTGCTCAATGACTTTGCGTGCAAGCTGTAGTTTAATGAAAGATTAAACTTGCACGAAGAAGTTCCGTGTAAGCACTAACAGTTTTTATGTCAACTTCATATGTGCGTGTCACATGCTCTTCTATTACATCCAGTTTGAGTGTCTTCGCTTAAGTCAATACAAGCCTACATCTGCACAGCCGAATGGATTGTAATAAAAGTAATTTCATGAAGAATTATAGCCCGAGAGTTCATACTGCTTAGTGAGTCAAAACACATCCAGATAGCTGTCCTGGCTGGGGCTAACGTGAAACGTAACAGACTGAGCATCAGGTGAGCGGAGCTCTACGTACCTCTCTGTGGGTGCTTGCAGGAAGCATGGGGAGGGTCTCATCTACTGTTGCCAGTAAGGTTCTTAACGCCAAACCAACCTCCTAAGAAAAAAAAACGAAAATAAAGTTTAAAAACTTGGAATGAATGGATGAGAAACTTGTAGCTGGAGTGCAGGAAGCAACAGATACACTTAATCCCTCATCTGGGTAAGAAGGGAGTTAGAACACGGCTGAGGGACTTTGAAAACCCACACTTGCAATTCCATGGTTCACCATCAAAACAAAATGCCAGTGTGTTAATTAAAATAAAAGTTCTTTTTTTAAAAAGGGAAACGTAGAGAAGTCAGCGCACAACTCGGTGCCCCTGGATAAGCACAGGCGAGCTGGGGAATAAAAGCACCATTTCCCATAATACTGTTAACAGTATCCAGCACTCTGACCAGGCTTTATGAGGAGCGGCTGAGGGAGCTGGGGTTGTTTAGTCTGGAGAAGAGGAGGCTGAGGGGAGACCTTATCGCTCTCTACAACTACCTGAAAGGAGGCTGTAGTGAGGTGGGTGTTGGGCTCTTCTCCCAAGTAGATAACGATAGCACAAGAGGAAATGGGCTCAAGCTGCGCCAGGGGAGGTTTAGATTGGGTATTAGGAAAAATTTCTTCAAGCACTGGAACAGGCTGCCCAGAGAGGTGGTGGAGTCACCATCCCTGGAAGTGTTCAAAAAACGGGTAGACGTGGCACTTTGGGACATGGTGTAGTTTAGTCTAGTCTACCCTTGATTGGTTTAGTGTGGATTTGGTTGTGTAGGTTAATGGTTGGACTGGATGATCTTAAAGGTCTTTTCCAACCTAAACGATTCTATGATTCTATGACCACAAGTTACGCCCCCCCCACTCCACAAACACAAAAAGCTCTTCTACTTCTAACTTTCCAGAAAGTTTCTCCTGCGCCACTTGAAGACCTCATTCAGGAGAGAACTAACACACCAATTTTAGGCATTGCCTCCGTACCTTTACCATGGGTACATACTCCTCTGGCGGAGCTGGCTGTATTTTACTGGACATTTCGATGACCGCTTTCACCAGCCCAGTTACGTTCTCATAGACTTTGTCGTTAGAGCGGTCCAGGTTGGCTGTAGGAGGAGGGCTGATTTCCTGCGGCTGGATCTGGAAGCAGAGAGGGGTTGTTTAACCTCCTGTCCCCAGCAGATGGGGCTCAGCAACTTCCCAACCTCCGCAGACGCCGGGAAGCTCTCGTATTCAGAACAGCCCCCCGCCCGGTCCCACTGGGTTCCCCTGTCCTGGCTGAGCACGCTCGCTCCTGGATCTGAACGAAGTTTCCTTTAGTTCTTCTGACTGAACCTGATCTGTGAATTGACACTGGGGAATTTTTTACCAGGATTTCCCTGAAGAGCTTCCAGTATAAGTCCCACAACAGAGAAAAAAATAAATTGAGGAACGAGGAGTACAGAGTACTTGACACGTTTAAGTGGTTCACTACTGATGGACAAGTTCCACTGCTAAGGCAACAGGTATCAGGTCCCTCGTTCCAGAAATTTTTGTGCTCCAAAACAATGTCAGAGTAAATAGTTAACATACCGACATAGTAAAGAGAGAATATTGCAGTACATATGATTGTTTTGTTAGTGAAAATTCACAGCAGATTAACAAAAATGGTGTCACCAGTACAGGTGGGAAACACCGAGTATTTTCATACAGTTTGTTTCCAATAGACCAGAAAAAAAACCAATAGGTTCAAAATCCTCTAGTCCTTACTCAAGCAAAACTTCCATTGAGTCAGATCTGTCTAGAGTTAAACCCAAGACAGACTGAAATAATCCTGAAAAGAAACAAACTTTGAAAACTTCTTCTGTAAGGTCCTCAGTATCTCTGCTCCTGACCTGTAAAACTACAAGCAACCCGGTTCCCTGCAGCTCTTCCCTGCCGCGGGATGCCTGGGCAACCACTCAGCGGGAGCAGAAGGTTAAAAAATTTCTTATTTCTTACTGGTCACACAGCAGCCATCCACCCTGTTGATCTTGGGATGGCTCATGGCATTTCAGCCCACCACACGGGGTTACTACTGGTTCTTACAACTGGTCCTAGCTCCAGAGATGTTTCACTGGAAGCACCTAAGATACTGCCCCGATGGAACTATAAAACACTTGGATGAAACTTAGTCTACAGGAGTGCAGGATTTGTGCATGGTGATTCCATTTTGTTGCATTTCACTAAGCGGGTACTGACAACTATTACAGAGATTCAATCTAGTGTTATTGATCAGAAAATACCTCGGGAAAAAGAACACTGTAATTGCCTCAATCACCAGTGAAAGGCTGGCATTCTAATCGGTTTCAGCAATTGAGAAGTTAAACAGTCATCTGGCAAAGTCACATGCAAAGACATTTTGGAATAGGGCACGTACACACACGCTCACGCACTGCTTACCCTCCATGGCTATGGTTGAGCAGAATGTGGGGGAAGGTTAAAGAAATTTACCAAAAGAAGGGAAAAAAGAAAAACAAT